AGTTACCCAAAGTAATTCCAAACCACATTAAACTACATAAAGCAGCTACAGAACCTGACAATTTAATATGTAAACGTGAAGCCTGTGGGATCCTCTAGCTTAATAATAATAGAAAATATCCTAAGAATGAGAAAAATCACTGCACAACTCAAGCAAGTATTTACTAGTAAAAACATAAGGCACTACATCTTTATTGGGCTTTCACTGTGTCCATTAAATTACAGTGCTACTAAACAAGACATTCTTTGTGGGAGCTATTTAAATGAGGTATACATCAGCCCTTCAGTAACAGCAAAACAAAGACTACGATTATTCTCTTATTTCTGAGCAGCAGCTATGATACCCTTTGCGGGCTAAAAACCTTCTACTAAACCCCCTACTTTACAAGTCTTCTGACCCATCTGTTTACCCATCAGGCTGGAAATTCAGCATCCAGGTCCTCTGCCTCAAAAAAATTACTTTATAGCAACTAATTTACATCCCTCCAATTGCATTTTAACTAAAATTAAGTAAACAGTACCTTTTACCTAAAACATGGTTCTTCTCGTATATGCAATGTGTTTTTCCTCCCCAAATAAAAAAGACAGTCCTTCTGTTCGTATATTCCTAGCATTGAACATCCTATCCCAAGATCAAGTAACTAAATGTCAGTCCTTTCGACTTCCACAGGGTTATGGATCAGACACCCTCAAATAGCATTGGGCGAGTTTTAATTGCAATTTAAATAGGAGTTCTTGATGGTGACATGAGAGACATAGCCTACCTAGGCTTTTAAAGTTAAGAATTAACTAGCACGGTCAAAGTTGACAAAACTGTTTAGTAAACTGAAGAGACTGTGTACTGAACTACGTATTACCCTGCAATGCTATTTTTTAAAGGCATCATCCATCGTATATATACAGTTTACAGCAGCAGCAAATCAGTGTTTGAAATGCTTCCCTTGCAGTTCTCGTAACAGGCCTTCGTCAACCTTTTCTGTACTGGTGGCCTTCAGTGTTTAGAAAAAAAAACAAAACCAAGTCTAGAAATGCATTTTTCCAGCATTTATTTAGTTGGTCCCTTTGCTATCTGTAAATGTCTACAGTTTCTGAAGTCACACCAACTTAAAAGGCGAAGAAGTTTGCAATCACAACAGGATCAGAATCGAAAACTTGCACCTTATTTTTAAGATACCTCCTGCAAAACAGCACCTAAGGAATGTCCCAATGCTGTCTCTCTATGGGATCTATTAAGTACTGTCCAAATAATGACCAAATCCAAAATAATTTAATTTAGGAAGCCTGACACCATAGCAATTTAAGAAGATCTCCATTCTAGTTAGCACTGGTGGATTCCTTCATGTCATTTTGCTACCTGACATTTCCCAATGAGTATTTTAGTGCAAAATAAGAGGTTTTTCCCCCCTGTTCCTATAAATTTGTGATTCTGAGTTACTTCAACCAAGTTCATCCCTTGCACAATGCTCCATCCAAGCCTGTGCACAGTTCTGAGGAGGAAGTAACATCAATACTCAAACTTTTTAACAGATTTTTTGCAAAGCCTAAAACATGAGTCAATCTGGATTTTCCTGAGTTGTAGAAAGCACAATGGTGATGAAATGCCAACTTTTTTTTGTATTATATTTCAGTTTTTAAACTCCCTTCCTTCTCCCAAAGAAAAGTGTTTACACTTTTACATAGGTATTGATTCCCAGACTCGCTCTCGTGCCAGTTTCATTCAGAGTTAATTCATGTGGTCAAATCTGAAATCGTTTAAAGGAAGTAATCCCCAGCAGCAGGTATAGCAGAACCCGTATCAGGACTCAAAGGTCTCTGTGAATGCTAAAGAATGGTAAAATCCTAATGCCAACAGAGAGGCTCAGCCATTAAATGACAAGAAATTGGTTTTTCTCTGCAATAACTCAAAAATCACGGCATTCCCTGAATTAAAGAGCCCAATATTATGACTGCTCAGGTCACCGTAAAGATTCTCAGCAGCATCCGTGAAGTTTAGACTGAACTTGAATTTCCAGGTGTAAATTAACACCGTATAATGCACTCAGAATAACATAACGTATCGTGCTTAGCTCCTAATGAGTTCACAATATTTGTATCGAAGTATCACCAGTAAGATCTCAACTCTTTACTCTCCAGTCTTTCTGGAGAATAAAAACAAGCCTGCTGGTACTTTAATGCACATCACATTTGGGTGAAGCAGCGAGAACGGACTCTCGATTGCACAACCGCTCAGTTCACAACTTCATGGCGTTGTTCTGTATTTCACTGAACATTTTCCTTACCTTACCAATTTAGGCAAACATATTTCAGAGCCAGTCATGCAGATGGCTTGAAAAGAACACCAAAACAACTGCACTATTAAAATGAGAGAGGTTTAGTAACATGACATGAAACACCACTTTATTCTCAAATGTGGCACTCAAATTTTCACACCACATAAAAGCAAACTGTGTAACACCATACGTTTTGATAGAAGGTTAGGAGCCAGAATTCGTATAAACTTTTGTATATGAAGGCCACGTTAACTGTCACTAAAAATTTCGGAGCATCTCTGTTGGCAAAGCAGTTTTGCAGACAAAAGATGTTTGAAAATCAGCCCCAATAATCAGCTGCGCTGAGCCAGTAACCAACACATCCAAATACAGCACGACTCAGGGAACACAGGCTCCCTGCAAAACTCCTCTGCATCAACGTGCACAGACCTTTTCCAGAAGTAAAAGGTTCTTCATGCTGATGTCCTTCTGACAGTGCACTGTAGTTTCTTGACACTCAAGTATCAAATCAAACCTCTTTGCTTTTTGGCTGTGTGCAGAGGACGCTCACAGCCTGAATTTCCAGTAATGCTTTATGATACCCTGTATTACTTTTTAACTACGTCTCCGTTCCCTAAATTTTGAGGCTATTCACAGTGTAATGCTAAGTGCACTAAAATGGCTTTCTAGTCCAAATAAAAAAAGTAATTTAAGCACTTTGCCAGCTCCAAGAGGGATCGCAGATGGCATCTGAACCTACCGCTGCGACTGAGAGCTGCAGCCCTGCTCAGGCTCACACCGCAGCATTTCATTAACCCACAAGCAGCACGGGATGCATTTTTGGCCGGACTCGTCCTTATCGCTACAGAAAACATTTTTTCCTCTTGTATTTGGAGAATGTTTCCCACAAACCGAAGTCGTTTCTATTTAAAGGAAAACCGCAATGTGGCAGGTCCAAAAGGACAGCCCAAAAGTTTTGAGGTCTTACATGAAATTCAGATACGGGCTCCGAAATAAAGGTCACTGTTCCTCAGGATGGTTTTTGCACTCCCACATCTTACACCACAGGTAAAATTGGGCCTCATCGTTGCTAAATCATTTTGTACGCTGCAATGAGAGCTTTTCACTGCAAACATCTCACGGTGAGGACCGAAAGCTCAAATACCGAAGAGCCCAGTGACACAGAAAAAGTAGTTTTAGGTCTCCACAGTGGAAGGCAGGAATCTGGGCAGATCTGGAAATACCACGTGGTGCTTTTCTGGGTCACAAGGTACTTTTATGACTTAAAAAAGAATATAACCTGGGGAATGCAGTGTGTGTATTTGGGATTATGCTTTTTTTTTAGGGGTGTCCCAAAACTCAAGGCAATAGTCATCTTAGTCAGGCTTTAAACTAGGCTTTCATTGCCCAAAGTGTAAATATAGTTAAAAAGGCCCAAAACTAAGAAAGCTGTAAGTCTTATTAACTACTAAATTGGTAAATATAATTTTAGATCTCTATTAAAAGTTTACTACACAATAATTATAGGAGGACTTTGCCTTTCCCAGACTTTCTAATAATAAACATTTACTTCCTTTGTGCAACCTGCTTCCTAGCAGTATGTGGGGAAAAACGCCAGCTCTCGTGGTGACAGAACCATTCACCGTAATCAAATCGGTTGAAACACAGTTAATTGTGAAACCTGCTGCAAATATTTTAAATAATTAATGTACCAAACATCAGCCTGACAACTTAAGACTACTTATTGCAGTTTTCCTTTAAATGTTCTTGCCCTTCGTAAGCTGGTATTTATCTCTAAAACCTTTAGCACAAGAGGCAAAAAGGCGTGTAACCCAGTAAAAATTGGCAAGCCAAAAAGTTTATTTTTATGTGATTTTATTTTTGATTGCCATACGAAGATTGCCATATGATGACCGTTCTATGGTATAATATGCTGCAAGGATAAGTCACACAAAATCCTGTCCACGGCACTTGGGCTAATAAAATAACAAAGACTCAGTCAACAAAAATCTTAAAAGAACTCATCTTGGTTTTGCTAATAACATCATGAGAAGGCCCCTATAATTTGCTGCCTCCGATCTTAACACGGATGTGACGGAAAATTAAAAGTATAGAAATTATAGATCCTTATGACATCGGAAAATGGTAACAGCTTTGTGTAAAATGCTGAGAATTTAGGTGTGGATATGGCTTGGGCACCTGCGTAAACAAATTCGTCTTTTTTGTCCTAAAAATAGGTGACCAGCTGCAGTCTGCAAGAATTTTTACAATAAGGCTACGTAGGTTTGTCATGCACTGAAAGGTAGAGCTGAAAGCACAGCGAAAGTGCAGTAATGAGCAGGGCCACTGTCATCCCCAACACAGCTGCCGAGCTGCGGTCTTATACGTTAAAGCAAAGCTGGTCACTTATCTTAAGGATGTATTTATTAGATTATCACCGTCTAATGGGATTTGACAGCACTGGTAGGAGTTCATATAGGCTTATGAAGGAAAAGATCTGAAAATTCCAGAATCAAGGATAGTCCTTCCTCCAATTTACCATTTCTACGCTTTGTTGGTGTGCAAAAGTGCACTGAAAACCTCAGAACAGATTTAAAAATTTGCCCGTGTCTCGTTAATGCACTGCAGTCTTCAAATTTACACAGAGCTGCAGTTCTCCCGGTTTTTCTCAAGTGTCACTCATCTAATTTAGCATGACAGCTGAGAAACGATGTCAGATGCGTTACAGTTCAGTTTAAAAAACATCCTCTACCTGGTATCTCTGCAGTGATTGTCTTGCTGCTCCCTGAAACCTCTTCGTCGTCGCCCGACGAACTCGTGCTGGAGTCACACGTCAGGTCGCTATCGCTGGTACTGCTGTCCTGCAGCAGGTTGTACTTCTTGCGAGCAGCCGCCTCCCGTTTCTGCCTTAGCAGCCGGATCCTTTCTTTGTGCTTTTGGCTTCGGTGGCCCTTTACCTTGGTCACTCGACCGTTCTGCTTATCACTAGACTGTCGGTTTTTCTTGGCGGCCATGGTCGAAGTCTCGCTTTCGGACCTGGAGCGCCTGGATTTCCTCCCAACTGAGGCCCCAGACACCGCAGACGGGTCTCCCTCTACTGCAGCTTCAGCTTGACAGGGCTCAGTGTCCTCTGCGGAAGACAACGTGTCAGAGTCAGCCAAGTGCCCGCTGGAAGAAGGGGAAAGCATGCAATGATTAGAAGAGTCACTCTCGTAAACTCGACCGCCCGTGGGCTTATCGCTCTCCGTAGAGGCCAGCTGAGACTCCGAGGAGTCTCGCCTCAGCTCCATCAGCAAGCAAGGCATTGACGAGAGCACCGCGGAGTCTGCTGCGGCAGGCGCGGGGTCTTTCTGAGTCGGCGTCTCCAGTTCTATAGGTCCGTCTTCATCGGGAGCAGTCTCTTGCTTTTCAGAAGTCTTTGGTGGTACTTCCAAATCAACAAGCTCTTCTGCTTTGCCCGCCGCCTCCATCTTCATTTCAGAACACCAAGGTCTCCTGGTCTCAGAGCATGGAGCACGCGGTCTGGAAGACTGGGTGCGCTAATTACAGACTTCAGCAGCACAGCAGCCTGCACAAGAACACAACAGGAAGAACAATTTACGCAAATAATCCACTCGATCCTGCGCTTCACAGTATCACCTAATCAACACGCTGCTTTAATTATAGACAGTACGGTTCGGCATCGTACTTGTTTTCTTTATTTACTTTTTCCTGGTGAACTCGTCTTGTTACACCAAACTATTCTTCCTTTCACACACCCAGGAAAGACGGTGTTGAAAACATGTTAGATGTGATTCACCTCACAAGAATAATAAAATCTGATCAGAAAATAATATAAATATTTCTAAACTCTTACTTTATAAATCAAGTCAATATATTACAAGCAGAATATGCTAAACTTCTTTACCTAGGACTTTAAGCGTATTCTAGTGGGGAATTTTAGCCCTTATGAACAATGCCAGCCTGAAAATTCCCAGACTCGGTAGTCATCTACCTGGACAGACCATAACAGGGTTCAGTTGCCCTATCTATGAGAAATCTACTTTCAGCTGAACAGGACCTCAACCTTATAAAATCACCATGTGTGCATGACAACTTGCAAACTTATGGTACCTACACAACATAGGAGAAATACAGCCACCTGGAGCACAAACAGAGCAGTGGCTGAAAACCACAGAGCAAGACTACAAACACCTTCCTTCTCCACTGGAACCTCTCTGCCAGCTGATCTTACATGCCAAAGATATATTTACAAGAAATTGTATTAAATTGTCAGAGACATGGAGTTTACAACATCTATGGGCAAGGTCTTTAGAAGCCCTGGCTATGAGTAACACAGATTTGCCCTCAGCAAAGAGCCACCACGCAGGCAAGTCATGTACAGCTTTTTCAGGAGTGTCTAATACACCATTGACATGGTCCTTCAGTGTCCCCCGTCCAAGTCCTGGTTGAATGGGAACCTACAGACTGACCTCGTTTATCTCAAAATTTCTAGGAAAACAGCATCAAAGAGTATGGGCTGCAAGCAAGAAACAGTAACCACCCACACCAGTATCCTACATTTTACTGCAAGTTACAGTTTAAAAAATCGCATTGCTTCAGTGCAAATACAAAAAATCCAAGCTATTTATGTGACTGATGACTTGCATCTTATCAACCAAAAAGTACCTGAAGCACCTTCAGGGGAATTTTCTTTTAGAGATCAATATTTATCATTTTATCTTTGTTATTCACGCTTTGCCTTCCACCTAAAGCTTCACTTGGAAAACAACACAGAATAAAAATCTTTCAATTACCACCTTTGCCTTGGTAGGTTGGGCAGATGCGCCCACCCTACTGAAGACCTGAGAAAGACCCAACAAAAGACAGTGATAAAGTTTCTGGCCCTGATGGCGCCAGGACTGCCTCCCCCCCTCACAGCTCATGTCTGGCAAACACAGTGGGGGTCAAAGGAGGGAAAGTTGGGGTCCTCAGCCAGTAGGGGCTGACACGACCATGGATTGACCACAGATCAGATTTGACCAGGGTATCAATGGGGCCCCGCCGGAGGACTCATTGGAGTCGGTCCTCCTTGGAGCAGCGGGTCTGCAGTCGGGGTCTCTCCCCTTGACTTGGGACGCCACTTAAGGTAACTTCTCGAGACTGAGAGCCCTCCCTTTCTGGTGAGTGAGTGAGTAAGTGAGTGCACACTTTGGATCGTTTGGCCAAAAACTTAAGAATTCTTAACTTAGCTGTGTGTGGGAATATTCCCAACCAGCATATCGAACCTGTATTTGTTGAATGTCAGTGGGATGTTGTCTTGGTGAATGAAGTTTTGTCTGCTTCATTTCAGTTGCAGATTAAAGTTTGTTTGAGTTTATTATCTGTGTGCGTGTAGTCATTTTGGTGCGATTCTGTGAACAAATTACTTACGGGTTTAGAAGTCTAGTAAATAAATTTATGGCACTTCAAAAAAAGCATAGACAAGGAGAAAAAAACCAAACAACCCAGTGTTAAGATTTAATCGACTGTTTTTAAAAAATGCATTTCTGCCGATAAGGGCAATTACTATTTGAGCAGCCGGGGAAAGCACAGATGTTGCAAGGAGATTTTCCTATCCCTCCTCAGTTTCCTGGTCCATCCCAAGCTGCCTGTAATTGCATATATGTAATTTTATGTACATAGTTGTACGCTGCTGCTCCCCCTCCATCTGCAGCACAGAATAAGGCCGCTTCCATGCTTCTAAAAGGTGCTGTGGAAAGCTCAATGTTGTCCTGTCTGCCCTAACCCACTTTGAAACTTCATTTTTTAAAGAGTATTAAAATAGAGTCCATGCTTTCTTGAGGCTAATGGATTAAATGCTGGATGGTGCAAGGGAATTATGAAAATATTTATGGAAGAGAAACACCAGTTAAGGAAAGAAAACGTAGTTAATATCAGACAATACAAGAAAGATGGAGATGATAACTCTAGGTCTGCTAAATATGAGAAAGGGAAGAAACCCCAGACGACTAAAACTAGCATTTTATTTAATAATAAAAACCCCAAACCCCGTAACACACACAAAATAACAACCCACAAGAAACCCCTAACCCCATACTGTAAAATCCAGGAACATAAAGAAATAAAGAAAACGGTTTCCCAACACTTGTACTGAGGAAAACGCTCTTGAAACCAACTGAAAAGAATTTCTGGAGGTGGAAATTTAATGTAGGCAATAAATATCGCATAAGAACCAATTTATTTCCAAGGCCACAGCACAGCATCAACAAACCCAAATGATGAACACGCATGTTCTGAAACATAAAGCATCCTGATACTGTAATAAAACCAGTATTTCTAGGTATTTCATCTATAAATCTACATTATCAAATTATTCCCCTATTATACAGGTAAGTAAAACACAGATCTGATGATTTAACGGCTGACCAAGAGTTATACACAGTGGGATACGTATCGTACCTGCTAGCCCAACAACCAGCTTGGCTCTGGCCATGCACTTTAAAAAGAAAAATATGTTTTCTATGAGTTTTGAATTGTACATGCAAGGAAAAATTCAATTGCTCAAGCACAAACGAGAAGAAAATTAGCCTGGCCAAAAGAAATGTATTTAAATATTCATGCTAATAACTGCAGAACAGCTTCTGCTTCTCCCCTGTAGCCTGGGGAGGGAGCATAGAGCAGAGCTATATGCAAAGCTAAAGGGCAGCCAAAGTGAACTGGAGACTCTTTTTTCAACAGAGTCCTCCTTGGGAACATCATCCCCCTCACAGGTCCCACAGGGACTATAACACCACCTCGAGCTGCCTTTCCATCCACCTGCCAGAAAAAGCTGTGTTTCATCTACGGGTGCCACCTTGCTAACAATGGATTAAGAGGATTTTTTAATTATTTTCATTAATTTATTTTTTATTATCTTGTTTTAACAACTCAAACCACACCGGTTTGGTCCCTCACACAGGCACCAGTGAGCTATACTTTTGATCAAAAAGCAGCACAGGGACTAGTAACTTCACAAAAATACATCTGGTCAACACTGACACGTGTTTCTGTGTGTGTGGAAAAAATACCGGCTCTGATGAGGTTTGTACTCTCCAGGTTCCTTGAACTGGCTATTTATGTATTTGTATTTATTTAAATATATGTGTATTTATTTATATATCAAAAGAACTTGATATTTATCTCAGTGGAAAAAAAAAAGACTCTGTCGTGTCTCAAACAGACTTTGCTGCAAGGAAGAATACAGACTAGTGGAGGGGAAAATATCTATGCCAAGGAAAACCTTATCTGAACAGAATAAAAAATGTACTGCTTTAGTTCTACTTCAGAAATGAACAGGTCAGAGAGAGGAAACAACTACAGTGAAAAACTCCCGTTCCTCTCTTACCACTCACTTTTCTATAACAGCACTGGGAAGGGTAATCTCAAGGGTAATCTCAAGGTGATGCTGCAGAAAGACCGGTTTCTTACTTAAATGAGAACAATGCAGCGCTGGAAATAAGCTGTGATGCTTACAGACACAGATGGATACCTAATTACACATTGCTCAGAAATGTCATCTTCCTTTTTCTGATGCAGATACTGCGCTGATGATTTTAAAAGGCAATTTGGTAAAAACTTCTGTGCTAGATTTTTCTGACATAAATTATTTTTCCAGCCACACACAGAGAACACACCAACATCCAGAAGCCACTGAATATTTAACTGTACTTCTACCTGGGAAATACTTCTGAATCATGGAGTCATTTGTAAAAGCACGTAATTTGTACACTATGAAACCTGCGCTTCAATGAAATCCAGGATTCTGAAAGTCAGATTAGCAGAGACAGCCCGGCTCACTGCCGCCAACAGGGATGGGGTTCACCTCCCTAACTTTTCACCACCTCATCATCACTGTGCAGTCATGTTATAGAATCACAGAATTACAGCATGGTTTGGGTTGGGAGGGACCTCAAACCCCCCCAGTCCAACCCCCATGGGCAGGGACACCTCCACCAGCCCAGGCTGCTCCAGGCCCCGTCCAACCTGGCCTTGGGCACTGCCAGGGAGTGGGGACCCACAGCTTCTCTGGGCAACCTGGGCCAGGGCCTCACCACCTCACAGGGAAGGATTTCTTCCCAATGTCTCATCCAAACCTTCTCCCTTCCAGTTTAAAACCATTCCCCCTCATCCTATCACTACCTGCCCTTGCAAAAAGTCCCTCCCCAGCGTTCTTGTAGCCCCTTCAGGTCCTGGAAAGCTGCAATAAGGTCTCCCCAGAGCCTTCTCTTCTCCAGGCTGAACAACCCCACCTCTCTCAGCTGTCCCCACAGCAGAGCTGCTCCAGCCCCTCAGCATCTCCATGGCCTCCTCTGGACCCGCTCCAACAGCTCCATGGCTTCTGGTGTTGGGGACCCAGAGCTGGACACAGCACTGCAGGGGCAGGGTCTCACCAGAGCAGAGCAGAGGGGCAGAATCTCCTCCCTGGCCCTGCTGGCCACACTGCTCGTGATGCAGT